ATGGGATTTGTATGGCATGGTTTGGAAAGGGATGATCCTGCCTCAGGCAGGGGGTTGGATTAGATGACCCATGGAGATCCCTTCTAGCCTTACTCCTCTATGATTCTATGGTTTACACCAGTGGCAAATGGGCTCTTTCTGCCTTCTGAAATACACCCAAGTAGTGCTGACTTTAAAGAAAGCCAGCCAACTCTCTCTCCTAGGATCTCCAGGGGATATTTTATTTTGTGTCCTCTCCTATGCTTAGCTTCTGAGAAACAAAATCATTTTCTTTGTTTCTGATAACATGGAAAACCAGTGGGCTTTTGTTCGTAACAAGAAAAGCACACTTCCTTGTTTGTGCACAAGAATTACACCTAGTCCAGGCTAGTCCAGGAACAGTGTTTATTATTAACTTAAAATAACCTGCATTTGTACATCAACTGCTAAGGCAGTTTTTCACTGCTATGCTCTAGTTGTGGAAGCACATAAGCATGCATCTTAAAATGAGAGAGTGGAAAGGGGTTGTCAGCTTCTGTGGGCTAACTGCCCATGTATATGCTTTTACCCTGTGGCACATGGAGCTTAATTTGCTGCAGGCTTAGTCCGTATTGAAAAAGGGCAAGGTTACCACAATTTAAGCTTCTACTTACCTTGGGATAAGAGTGCACACAGTGACAGTTACACAAAGTAGCTGATGTGCTGTGAAGCCCTGTCCCCTTTTGCCCTATGGTAACTTGCTTGTATGTTCACACTCTGTTTGTGTCATCTTGGGAAGAAAACACTGGATTGCAAGAGTGAAAAACCTGGAGTATAAAGTCTATCATTGACTAACTTCTTCAGCTGCAGGATCACAAATGCAATGCTGTGCATGGTGGCTTGGTATTGTAGGTTCCTTCATGACAGTTACTCACATTGCCAACTATGTTGTTTTCCTACATCTCCTTTTCTTCTTTGTAAATAGGTAAATAAAGTGGGCAGGTCAGAGTTGGGGTCCTGATTTCCCCCATGCTTCTTCAGTTGGCAATATATTATGTAAGTCAACACGAAGAGTACAAGGCCTCTTCTGTAGACCCTATATAAATAATGGCAGCCTGATTTAATTTGATGACTAAGCGGTGCATTTAAGACACCTTTTCAAGGAAGTTTCCCGCAGCTTGTAATTGAATGCAAGAAGTTGGGTACATGTTAGCCCAGCTTCCATTGAGGTTGCATGGTACTGTGAAAGGGAAGTCCAGGATTCCTACAGTTGCAGATACACTAGAACCAGCTCCCGGCAGAGGCACACCAACAAAAATCTATCAGGAAAGCCCAATCTCCTCTGTGGTTGCGAGTGAAGGGTGTCCACTAGCAAAAGGTGCTCTGGTTTCAGGCAGGGAGGAGATTCCCTAAGACAAAACAATCACTTGGAATCAGGGTGGGGGAAGGGAAAAACCTGAACTGGATTTCTGTACCATCTACAACATGGCCTCAGGATCTAGTTGGGGATGGTCCTGCTTTGAGCAGGGGGTTGGACTAGATGACCTCTTGAGATCCCTTCCAACCCTGATTGTCTATCATTCTGTGATACTTATCCCAAAGGCATAGCATCTCCCAACCAGAGTAGGATCCTCAAGGCAGCTCCTCACAATCAGATTCATTATAATTTCTACTTGCTTCTATTTTTTAAAAGTTCTGAAATCACCTTTTTGTGTCAGTTTCACCTATGAGCTGTCACATTCCACTGTCCTCAGGACCCAGCTGATTTTAGTAAAAGCCTATATCTGGACCCTCTGGTTCCTTCAATAGCAGTCTGAAGTATCTGCACAGCCTCTAAATAATCACAAAACAAAGCCGACCCAATCAGGAATGCTTTGCTCTTTCAGCATCATTGATCCGGGAGCTGGCAAAAAGCAGATTAGCTCAGATCCAGGCAGAATTAACAGTGAATTAAAAAAAAAATTAAAGCCACCTATACACTAGGGAACAATGGTGGGGATTTTTTTAGCGTACTTGACAGGTTCACATTTTTATAAAGCCGTTTATCAATTACATACACACATACACAAAGCAACTATAATTAACATCTATTGTTTTTCCTCCAAACTCAATAGCTCAATTAATCTTTCTGAATCTTCTACCTCCCCCAGGTTCCAGCTAAAACCCGGACACCAAAAGCATATTCAAGCTAAGTTATTTGATAGACACACCATGGAAAGGAACTTAGTGGAGGCGATGGTCAACAGAGAATGAAAACAAAGTTATAGCAGCATGTTGTGCAGAGATAAGGCTGCAGTAGCAGCAGCTGTAGTCAGGTAGTCTCAGTGATACAACATGCATGTCACAGACCAATATATCCTTTAGAATTCTTCATCTGATCTCAAAACATTTTGCCAAGGAGGTCCCTATAATTATCTCCATTTTACAGATAATAACATGGAGGCAGAGATTAAGAGACTTGGCCAGTGTCACCCGTCTCGCCAGAGAATCCGTGTCTCCTAAGACTCATTCCAGTGTTCTGCCTGCCAGGACCTAGGTGAATAATCCGTAGAAAATAACCCCACTAGTAAATGAAAGAAATATGGATACAAGTTTTTGTTCACTGATGCCAACAATAACAGGGAGTGTTTGTACTGGCGAGTCCTGGGAGTTTGTTCTTTGTGATAAGGATGAGGAAGAACAAGTGGGCGTTCTAATCTCAGAAAATAGAGGAACCAAAACAAAAACACTGACACATCATTGGAAAGTGTTCTAGTTTTGGGGAAGAAACTAAACATTAACTTTTGTTATTTTACACCCTGCCCTCTCATTTAGTGCTCTGATAGAAAGCCCTATACACCTCACACTTCTCCCAGAGCCTTGTCAGTGCCAGGTGAGACAAGGTGGCAAAACAAAAGGGCCTTCAGAAGACAACAGGGAATTCAAGAGGGTACAGGGATCCTGGTTTTCTCTGTTTAAAAATCACAACTTCTCTGATAAAAATAACAAATTCTCTGATTTTAAACCCCCCAAATCCATGTGTTTCCATGATTAGAATGAAATGCCACTATATATGTATCAGTTGACCACAATCTTTTATTGATACATTTACTATTTTAAAGCAATTTGGAAGCTTGCCAGTGCCTCAGTCACTATAATAAAATAAGTTCTAAATACCTATAAATTTTAGTGTTTCATTTTGGGTTTTTTTTATCTCCTTGCTTCCATCACTCACCAGGATGCAGGTCTGGCTGCCCCACCACTGCTTTGTGGAGCTGAGCAGCCCTGATATGCTGGTGCCCTGCCCATACCATTGCTCCTCACTCCTGACCCACAGCTCCCTGGGCCCTGCTGATCCCCCTCACTCCACACCCACAGTCTTCCCACCCAGCTCTGCCAGAGTCTGCCCCCAGCTGCCAGGGCTGTGGAGCCAGGGACCCAGGTGCACAGCCCCTTGACCCATACAGCAGCACCTAAGCCCTGGCTGCTGCCTGTGGAAGGCAGTGCTTGCTGTGGTGGAGCAGAGCACAGAGCCCAGCTCCCTCTCCCCATGGTGAGGTGCCCTCTACACCACCGCCCCTGCTGCTGCCAGGCAGGCAGGGGGGACCTTGTCATGGCAGTGAGGGGGTCCTAGCAGTGATGCTCCTATTAAGCTTCCCCACCCTGCCCCGCTCTGCCCTGCCGCCCCAGGTCCCACACACTGGGCTGGGGAGACCCCAGGGGGAAAGCAGTAGGGCAGGGAGCCCTGAGCCCACACTGGGCAGCCTACCCCAACTCTATGCACAAACCTGGAGGGCATGTGCCTCCCCAGGAGTGCATGAAGCAGTTTGGAGATGGCACCCCCACCCTTGGACAAGGTGCCCATGGCCCCGTCCTGCTCCCTGCCCAGGCCCTGTGGCCACTCATTCCATCCCCAGGCCCCCTAGCCCCATGCACCGCCCCAGGTGGGTAGCAACCACAGCCCCAGCCTTGCCTAATTCCCTCGTTCTCTCCCTCACTATGGGGGCCTCATTTCCACCCCCCACATTCCCTATCCCATGAGAGCCGCTCTCCAGCCTGCCTGGTAGTCACGTGCATGTGTATGTGCGCACATACACACGGTGCCTCTTGCCTGACTACCCTTCTCTCGCTCCCCCCGGCCCCTTGCAGGCTGGAACTCTACCAGCCTGCAAGGGGAAACCCACCATATCCCATGTTTTTCTCCTTTAAAGGAGCAAATCTGGATTTTTCTCCTTAAAATGAGAAAAACCACATTTTACTGTGGCGAACGGAAAACCCGGATCCCTGGTGATAAGACAACAATACAGCAGCAATGCAATCCACACATGTCTGCACAGCAGGAACACCAAACAGAACAGAAAGCTCAACACTAAGTTATGGGTGCATCATATCCTAGTACTCTGCCTTTTAATTTGTGGATGCAGCTTTTGCTGATACTTACTTTGCTAGTTTTTTAAACCCAATGGCTCTCTTCTTGGTAGGGGTCCCATTGACCCCTTTCCAGATATGAGTATTCCAAGGGTCAGGCTAGAAGGAAGAAGAAAGTCATTAGCCATTGGGGGGGAGGTAGAAAGGAGGGAGGGAAGCTGGTTATTCAAGAACTTCAGGTCTATTCTGTCCAGCCATGGAATTTCATTGGTCCATAATGACAGAACCAGCTGTGAAGAGTGTCTGAGCTCATCTGTTAGGGCAGGTCAATAACTTCCTGCAGCCCAACTAACTCTTTAAGCCTACAGATGTCCCTTCATATTAATACCTAGGTCTTTCAGCTATGACTGGGTGCACTGGGGTTGCAACAAGCTGTCGCAAAATAATGGAAATAGTGCTGACTTGTAACAATTTTGCATAACAAACCCATCCTGCCTCCCAGAAATTAAGACAGTCCTCGGGGGCATCTACCATTAATGAACAGCAATGATGATAAGCATCAGCTGGGGTGGGGGGAGAAGAAATGGAATTCATCCCCCCATGCCTTTCTATTTTTATAGGTTTACTAGCAAGGGAATACAGCTACAAAAATGATTAAAAAGCAGCAAAATCCTCAGCTAATTCAGACATTTCACATGGATGTCAGTAATCAGAGTTCAGAGTGAACTGAGTTCTTGGTGGATTCATAAGAGATGAACAAATAGTTCCTTTTCCTAATTACTCCTTGAAGGCCCTTGAGTAAAGGTTGAATTAAAGCCACAGGAGCATGGTTGTCTGGCTAATGAGGGTACATGTCCTTGGAGTTCCTTTCCCCATTGTTTGAAATGTTAAGTCCTTAGCTGTTATCTTATCATTCACCCCAGTCAAAGTGCTTTGTACTGCAATGCAGGAGCTCAGAATAATATTTTCAATTCCCAAGCTGGCACGAGCAGCTCACTCCAATTTACAAAGAGGAGGGAAGAGGAAGGTGATTAGAAAGCCATACCGTCATGGACAAATTAGAGAGCAGGGTTGATTCACTCCAAAGAGAGATCTGCACACTTTTCACTGGGTAAAGGATAGAAGATAGGATCTCAGGGACTCTCGGGATTAGGATAGAGATGTGAAGGGTCAACCTCCTGAGTGAAGGGAACCCCTACAGGCCATCAGCAGTCAGTGAGGTGTGTTAACATGCCCCACCACCTTCCAGAGGCAACTACCTGAATACAGAATCAATCCAGGGACAAGGTAGAACTCCTGCTCTGATGGCATCTGCTCAGTCTTTCCATGCTTGTAGACAAGGGACAGGGACAGGTTATGAAGCATGAGAAGAGGCCTAGTGATGGACAGTACCTGGTACTCAAAGGAGGGTGTGAGACGATAGTTGAGCATTTCCTGGTGGAAGACTGGAGTGACACTGCCAGACATTGGTGGGACAATCCATACCCAGTCAGCAGGACAGCCCCCACGGCAGCGGTACTCATTCTCCATGTGCTTGATGAAAGACTCTGTGGCTGAGTGATGATCCACAATAGTCACCTTGTCGCTCTGGTGGACAGAAAGCAGAAGAGAGGCAGCAACTGAAGATTAATGCTCTCTGGCCAGCGAGGACAGAACTGGGTACTTCAGTAGGAAGAAAAAGTTAGGACTCAGGGCTGGGAGCAGAGACTGGCACGAGATCCAAAAGAAAATGTGTCTTAGCATTAAATGCAGCAGGCATTAGGGCAACAAATGGCTTTCCTATAGAGGTCCAAGGCTGAAGGATGTCAGTTTTTATCTCCAAGGCAAAGACATCCATTACATGACCTACCAGGAGCTGTCTAGAAGGGCCCTGTAGTGAGGTCTGACTGAGAGGGTAGCCCTCACACATGCACTTCAGGCCCCCATATCTGAAACAATGCTAAAACCTTCCAAAACTAAATGTATCAAAATAGCTGCCAACATGCCTGGAGGCATCTCCCCAAAGTGAATTTCTTGTCCAGCCTCTGAGCAGGACCCAGACACTCTCCCCTACAAATGACCAAAGCCTAGGACACTGAGGATGCATAAGCAACAAGTCCTGCAGGCAGGTACCTGAAAGCTGTACAGAACAGCTATGTTGATCTCCACCAGTGCTTGGTCCTTCCACAGTGAGGAGGTTTTCCTCATATCTAAGTTCATCTTTTTAGCTACCTCCTGCAAGGAAACATAGCAATAGGTGAGCAGAGAGCAAAGGTCCTCTGACTTCTGCCTTAGCTAAGCCAATGGAAAGAAGGACCCGCACTTTCGAAACCTTACTGAAAGTGGAAGTAGGTCCTTGCTTGGCACCAGGACAGCTAAGTGTCCAGCCTGTCTGCTTCAATGCAGAGCAGTGAAGTGGCCCAATTTTCTCTGGAGACTCAGGGATTGGCCAAGACTAGTTCACACAGGGGGGCAAGAAGAGGAGAGCTTTCCACCCTGGCAATCCTGCATAGTTGGCTATGGACTATCCTCAGTGGTGCAGGCAAGTGCTAGTAATCACTCATAGTGTTCCCCCAGGGGCTCAGTGCTAGACAGAGTCTGGGGCAAGGAGGGTAATGTGCTACACCCCCTGCTCTCCAAATTATTTTGGCAGAGCTGGCTGCAAGTGGAGTGAAGAACACAATGCACCCCTGGAAAGAGTGGGAGAGCAGAATTAGTTAAAGCACTTGACTCCTTCAGCACCAGATGGGATTTAACAGCCACAGCCCAGTTGTGTTTAGGATTACAACTTTTTCATTCTCTTCCGTAATCTGGCACCCAAAACAGCTCCCTTGAGCACACTAGAATTCACTCTTATTTTCAGCACAGATCAAAGGCAACACTTAGACTTAATTTACTCCCCACGCAGCAGTACAACCCTAAGGTGGTACCCAGCTGCTCAGTAACTTCATATGTGCCCCACAGCATTTTCAAAGTGCAGCCACCAACCCCAACAGCTGTCACAAAAGGAAGCAGGAGGTAGAGGAGAGGCTGGGTTACCTCCAGCATGTTGTAGCGAGAGTTATCACAGTAATCTCTGACCCCGATCTCGGTGCCCATGTACCAGCCGCTGAAAGGGCAGGCAGAGAACTCCAAGCCTCCAATCTCTAGTAGCATGTTAGAAACTGCTGGCAAACCGTACCACTTCAGTCCCAGGTCCTTGAACCACTCAAACCTGCCAAGGACACACTGGGGTTTACCAATCAGGTAGACACAGGGAAGAGAACAGAGGGGATTTTCTGGTAACATTATCCAAGTAGACGCCTGAATGTACTTTTTCCTACTAAGTAGCCAGCAGTCATCAGCCTGCAGAACCAGTCCTGTGGACATGAGAAAAGAGTTGGTTCCTATAACAATTCCTTCCCCAGGGTCTGAAAACGGTGGGTGCATTTTCTTTTCAAATGCAGGAGGTGCAGAGAAGAGGTGCATAGCAGAGGACTCAGGATAGTGTGACTGGAGAAACAAAAGCAATCAGAAACCAGCTCTACAGTTTTCTCATGAGAAAAGGACCAAGAGTCACTGGCTGTGCCAGTTTTACTGCAGAATGGGAAGCAGCTCTAAGGACAGAACCAAATGGCAGAAAAGGGTGCAATGTTACTGCAGTGGAACTGGGTTCTAGTGTGGCTCCCATTGTACTTCCCCCTTCCCAAGCAAAGAGATGGGAAAGGCTTCCCAGTGCCCTTAGAGAAACCCCACGTGGTTCCCTCACTGCAGAACCCTCTTGCAGCAGCACTCCAATAGGCTCTAGCTTACTTAGGATGTCTGATGGGTACTTCCAACACCAGCTCAGGGGGGATCTCAAAGAGTTCTGGATCATTGCCATTGGCTTGGAGAAGGAGTGGCAGCACATCAAAGCGACCCCTGGGTGCCTTCCACCCTTGCTGGATGCAGATCTGTAGGCAAACAAAGTCCTCATTATAACTCTTGTCCATCTAGCCATTCAGTTATATTACCACCTATCAGGCACAGGGGAGAGAAGGGACTTCTCAGGATTAGATTACCTGAACAACATCATTCTGGAGTATTTTTGTTTTTGCTTTTTAAATATAAGAGGTGTCTCTACTCAACCTGACTCCTAACTGTTTGGGCTGAGTCATTCAAGAGTACTCTATAAATCAAGGTGTTGGTTATTAGCCATTTTTAATAGGAACTGATCATCATAAGCATGAATGCCAAGGACCTCTTGGTTACTACACTGTGCAGCAAGACAATGCAGGTCTAGAACCTGGATTGTTGCTTCCAGAACACCATCTGAGCAAACGGTACAATGTGTTAGCTTATAGTGGAGACTATGAAACATACGGTGTCTTTACATGTGCTGTGGGGGGGTGGGGGAGTGCTTTAATTGAAGTAGCTCTTGGGAGGTGCTCCAATTAAAACACTTGCAGCATCTTGTGCATTTAGTATCCCTGCACTTCAAAATGGCAGCGGGGACACTTTAACTAAAGTTCGTTTGATGAACTCTAGTTAAAGTGCTCCCGCCGCCATTTTGAAGTGTAGGGACACTGAATACATGAGATTCCAAGGCTGCAGGACTGTGGTAATTAGCACGCTCCAGCAGACTCAATGAATCAAGTCTGCCAATGCGCTGTAATTACAGTGCGTCAGAGCAGGCATCCTGTACATCTACAGCAGGGGCAGGCGATTATTTTGGGCGGAGGGCTGCTTACTGAGTTTTGGCAAGCTAGCAAGGACCGCATGATACGCAGCCAGGGGCAGATAAATATTAATTTTCTAAATTTTTTAGGGGCCCCATGGGCCGGATAGAATGGCCTGGAGGGCCACATCCAGCCCACCCCTGATCTGCATTTTGCCCACCCCTGATCTACAGGCATCCATTAATTCTGATTCCATTCAGGAGAGGTCAGTGCTTTATGCACAAAGAAGCACAAATACAAGTTGACCGGACAATGCTAAGTGCCAAGCTATTTGCATTATATAGCACATGACTTGTCTTGGGAAAAGCAAAAGGAATGCAACGCGGTCTTTCAGATGGACCCAAACACTGTTGAACAATATGTAGATGCTTCATCCTATCTGAACACCTGAGGTTTTTAGCCCTGTTGCTTTCTCCCAAACAAGACTGACCTACAATGCCCGGGACTATGCTGTATTTTATAGGCTTACCTCTGTCAGCTCCACATTAGCCGGGTCTCCAAGAATGGTACCATCTGGCTGCTTGTAACCAGCATAGCGGATGAGCTGGGCATTCCAGATTCTGAAGTCATGCTTTCCATCTGTCCTTTGGGGGAATATAGTGATAGCAGACCTGAAAGGACCAGGCAGTGCTGGCATTAGTATCATGAAGGATTACAGTTGCAAGGGTGGGTGGTCACTGCCAAGGCTGGGAAATGTTGCATAAGAAGGTGGTAAGCCCTTGCCAGCATTTACAAAACCTCAGCTGATGTACCCTCTGGCACCAAGTTTGTGCTTGTGAATGTGACCAGATGCAAACTAATCTCCATATTCTCCAGGAAAAGAAAAGTGTTCCTTTCCAACAGGTTTCAACCACTATGATGAAGATGTTCCCACTGAGATGAATGGCCTTGTGCACAAGCAGGTGTAATATAGAGGCAGAGAGGCTGGAGGGAGAGCTCCATTTTGTGTGTCAATTCATCTCCCTTTAGCTACCTACTCTTCGTGCCATTGTTTCATTAATCTATACACTGAACAAGTCACGGACAAATAAAAAGATGGGGGAAGGAGTTCATCTAGTGGTCAGGAAAGGAAGAGAAACATGTCATACGTTTCATTCCAGCCCAGCAGCAGTATGGTGCAGTGGACCAGAAGTCAGTAGACCCAGGCTCTTCTCTAACCACTGACTTACTCTGTAACCCCAGACAGAATTATTTAATTTTCATAGATTTCATAGACATTAGGGCTGGAAGGGACCTCGGAAGATCATCAAGTCCAGCCCCCCACCCAAAGGGCAGGAAGTCAGCTGGGGTCATAGGATCCCAGCAAGATAAGCAACCAATTTGCTCTTGAAGGTGTTCAATGTAGATGCTTGAACCACCTCCGATGGCAGGCTATTCCAGACCTTGGGGGCTCGGACAGTAAAGAAATTCTTTCTTATGTCCAGCCTGAAACGGTCTCGCAGTAGTTTATGACCGTTGGACCTTGTCATCCCTTGGGGCACTCTGCTGAACAAACATTCCCCCAGATCCTGGT